TATAATAACAACTTAAAATTATTTTATAAAATAAATGGTATAAAATTTACTTTATAAAATTATTTAAATATATTTAATAAAATAATATAAAAATAAATTTAAAATATTTAAATAATTTTATAAAATAAATTATATATAATCCCTCTTATAAAACAAATTTCTTTAATAACAAAGTGTAAAAAATTTATTACTAAACAAAAACGCCGTAAGATTTCCACCCCTAATCATATTGGACCCGTGGCTTTGGTTTCATCTTCTTCTTTAAATTCATGATGCTTCTTCTATTTATTTTTTACCTTTAGCACAAGGTACGAACCAACGGGTTTTATTAATTTTGTGTGCTCTTATAATACGTTTAAGTTGAGGGAAGATAAATAAAAAGAAAAAAAAAGGAAATGAGGAAATGAAGCTATTTATATTATATATTTTTAATTTTTTTATTTATCTAAATAAAAATAATAATAATATCTGATATTTAGACTCAATTATTCAATCTTAAACCTTAAAATACTTAAATAAAATGATCAAAATTTCAAATTTCACCACCATTTTGAAAACTCCATTTTCTCATTCCTCAAATGGTATACTGTTTAAAAATAAATAAATAAATAAATGATGGGCAGCCGAGGTGACATCATTTTATTTTCCTCTCTTAATTTTAATTATGAAGATTTTCCTACATTTTTTGCTTTCCTCCAAAATGTTCGTTATGACTGTACAGTATTTGTAACTCTAAACAAGACTGAAATTTATGTTTTATAAAAACTAGTGTTTGTTTTATGTTCAAGATGATGAGTGGATCTGTGCTTAAATCTTTGGATTTAGTGACGTTAGCTCACGTATAAATATATTTTTTTATTATAAAACAATTATTTGAACCCTATCTTTGTAAATTTGCTAAAAAAGAAAAATGATGATGAGTGGATCTTCTGATTCCATCAATTTTACTTTTTTGATATTTCCCTTCGAAAAGACGCATTTTTATACAAACCTCTTATAAAATAAATAATTTTATTTGAATATAAAAATTTTTTATATTAATTATAAATTTTTTATATAATTTATATTTTATCAATTCAATAATTAAATTTGATATTTAAATTTAAAATTTATTAATATTTATAATTAATAAAAAAATATATTTTATATAAAATTAATATTTATTTACTAAACTTACAAAAAAAATGAAAAATATTTTAATAAAATATTATGAAATAAATATTAAATATGTTAATTTAATCTATTTATTTTAATTAAAATATTTAAATACATTGTAGCCTCAAAACGTTTTTCCTTTGGCTGGCTTGGTTTTGTAGTGTCGAGGAATATATTTGAACTTGATGTATGTAACTTCATTCATGAAACGTGACGTTGCACCTAGAATTTTTATGAATCTAGCTAGACATGTGTTATGTACCATGGTTGTAGTTTCTTGACACTAGCAAATCCTGATGCTGTTTGGGTTACAGTGGTAAGGAGTGTCAATTTCTGTGGTGGTAATCTTACGGGAAACAATTAAGACTGCCAAAAAGGAGAGCACCGCTGAGGTATGACCGGCTTAATTTGTGGTTAAATATTAATAATATATCATAATTTTTTCAGTGAATACTTTTTTTTTTTTTAAGTAGTTTGATTCTTATACTAGACAAACTGTTATAGAAACCACAAAAAAAAAAAAAAAGCTTAAAAATCAACTTTTTCATTTATTGATCACCAAAATTTATCATAGGTGTTTAATTTATTAGCAAAATGTCTGGGACTTAGAAAGCGTTGCGCAAAATTAGTACCCAACTTTTTGTCAATTCCCTTTGAGAAAATTACTGTTAAAATGGCTTAAGAAAGAAATGTGGATAAAATAACTTTTGTTTTCATTTGTATCCTTGACAAACTCACCATGATAATTGGAAAATCCGTGATGTACGTTACTCAGTGACTGCTTTTAACAAAGCTGCCAAACCTCCTGCCTATACTTAACCATTGAAAAAGACGTAGGAAATCAGCCTTTGCTTCAATTCATAATCCATGACAGTGACTGCTTTGAAAGGACATGAATTATGATCTGAAGCACATGGTCCAAAGTCAGACCCACTAGCGAGCCAAAGTTGCTTTCATTGTTTTCACGTGGCCTTTCTCTACGTGTTGCTCTATAAAACATTACTTTCTCTCTCCAGAATGATTGAAGGATTGAATTTTTTATAAAATTTAAAAAATTTAAAAATTAACTTTTAAAAATAATTTTTAAATAAAATTTGAATAAATTATATATTTAAAA